ATTCTCCTTCTTGCCTCTTCTTCGTAATCTTCTCTTCCTCTTTTCTCATCCTCTTCTCTTTCCCTCCCTTCATCTCTTTTGCATGTTATTTTCTGGCCCGTACTCGCAGTTGATTGGAACTTTCTTACCTGAAGATTCTGTCATCATTGTCGTTTGTCGACACCAATCTGGTGTTGGCAAAATGTGTTCAATCCTTTATAACTTAGATATCCAGCTTCGCACATTGAACGCTTTTTTTCTTTTTTCTTTTTTTGCTTTTTCCCGGCACATCGGATGGTGTTCAAGCGCAAAATTGTGAGCTGACTTCTTCAAAGGTCTCACTCCACTACACAACACTCTACAATGTCTACATGCATTTGGTCACTTTCTGAACCAGGTGCATTCAGGCAAGTCCAACATTTCGAATGCATCGGGCGCTCCCCCCTTGGACTTCCCCGACCCCTTTCCGCCTCATGGTCTATCAATGGTGGATCTCCAATGGTAAGGACTAGAGTGAGGGAGAGAGAGGCACAGCGAAGGCTGCAACTGCAGGAAGAAGGGGGCTAGACAGTCACATAGTCGGGCGCCCAGCAGCAGGGCTGAAGAGACCCTCTTCTCCTCCCTAGTTGAGTGCTCACCCTCCTGCTCAGTCAATCCCCTGTCTCGAGGGTAATCAATGCTGGCAGGTTGGAAGACGATCAGAAACAACTCGGTGCGATTTAAATGGTTTTTGTGTGAGGGACGCTGGACCCGATTTCCAGCAGGTGTTGCYCCCCGCCACTAGATGGAGCCTTCCCGGGGGAGATAGATGTGTCTGCTCGTACCAGCACCCCTACCTCCCATACGGGTAAGTTAGGGGCTCGTTAGACACTCCTCGGGGCCCGAGAAGTTTTCCTTCAGGCCTTCCAAGAGATTTCCCGCTGTCATTCCACTTATCCTCGAGAAGGCCTTTCGAGGAGGATTCCTACGGACGGCCCGCGACCAGTCGCCCTCCACGTAATAATAATATCGCCGACCGTGGGGTGAGGTGGGGTTGGTGGTCCATGGGAGGTTGTCCGCTTGGACGGCCGTGGTACAGCTTCGAGTGGCCTCAAAATTCGAATCTTCGCGCAGACCAAAAAAAAAAGAAATAAAAATTGGCACGCCGTCTCGATTCGAAATTCAAAATCCGAATGACATCGCAGGGGTGAGGGCGGTTCGTCTTGTGTCTGCGGCGGCTGGTGGAGGACATCGGAAACGAACCTCCTTCCACTGCGCGTCGGCAGCAGCAGCGTGAGTGCTGTGTGCGGCCAGGCAAGGAAGACATCGGGGGAGAAGACGCCATCGCGGCAGAGCGATCACGGAGAAGACGCCATCGCAAGCCATCGGGGAAGAAAACGCCCTCGCAGCAGTCGTCGGCGTGAGTACTGCGTGCGGCTGGTGGAGGATGTCCCGGGAGGAGACGCCATCGCAGCTCGTTCGGGAGCAATGGACGATGGCGACATTGACGTTGGTGGGAAGCTGTCGATGGCGGAGAGGATGGCAGTTGCAGCAGCTGTTACAGCGACCCTCTTTCGTTGTCAGGGCGACGGGTAGAATGAAAGCCCAGATCCACGCGAGGAGGAGGAAGGTCGCGCAGTGCATGTCAGGACACTGCGCGGCCCGTAGCTTGCCAGCTCGGTCCGCTGGAGTCCTGTTCTTCACCTGCCGCCCTTCCATGATGATGCCCTTCGTCGCTGAATGCCTATCGCACGTGCGTCCAGGCAGCCTACAGAGGATGCACACGTGGAAGACGACGACCAGGAGAAGTGTGACCAACACAAAGAACAGCAGTGGTAGTCCACGGAAGATGTCGGCCATGAACGACACCTGGTGAAGAGCGGTAACTGCACGAGACCGGTACGCAAACGGCGATGACACGACGGCAGGAAATGGCGACGGGAAGAGGGCAGCAAACAGCAGATTGGAGAATCCTACAAACGCCGTCATCACGCCTCACGTCGTGTAGCTGGGAATATAAATTTTGACAGCCTCAAATATTCGAATTTTCCGTCCGTTGGGCCCGTTTCCGTTTGGCGGCACGCGCTGCGAGGGAGAATGGCTGTGGACCACATGCATGGGAGTTGGCAGGCCACCAACGGCTGCTGTTGGGGTACGGTTCCTGGAGGCCGAACGTTGAAGACCAATGATGTCCGTGCGCTGCCCGGTAGGAACTCCAATGGTCCAGCCGACGATAATTTCCTGCCGACGATGGGTGCCCTCGTCGCTCCAATTATCGCAGATCCCTCACCTCCAAGGGACCTCAGGAGGTACCTTGGGGGAGGCCGCCCAAGGATTCCCCGAGGATGGCCCGAGGAAATATTTTCACTTTTTTTTTTTTTTTTTCCCCGAGGATTGGTGGAACAAAGATTTCCTTGGGGAATTTATGCGCCCCAGGAGTGTCTAACGAACCCGCCATACTTCGATTTTGGTGAAACTTGAAAAGAGTTCCTCCTGATTTACATCTTTCTCTTCACCACTTGAGGCGTTGGATATGCCGAGCACGCGAAAGCAATGCATATCGATTAGTGCAGCGGCTTTTTTCTCAATTTGTTCTCTTTTCTTGTCATTCTATCCTGTTTTCTGTTCTTGTCTTTTTCTTGTTCTTAAAAGCACCAGTACATGCCAGCTATCGGCTGCGGGCCCCTTTCGGAGAACTCCTGCCACCGATTCATTTTATCGAGAGTGCTCGGCCTCCCAATTTGTTGGAGAGGCTCAATACAGGTTCTCCAGTTGCCTGGGGCCATGTACTGGTGGTTTAAACGCATCAGAAGAGCTTGACAGACAGCCTTCACCATTGAACCGTTGCTGCCAGCGATGTTTGAGGTTCACGTTGTACGCTGCATGCTGTACTTGCCGCCAGAATGGCCATTGTGCAAGGCAATGGCCCTACCAAGGGCAATTGGGCAATTACGGACAAAAGAGAGCTTTGGGTTGTGCTCATAAATTTCAAGGGGGGGGTGGCTATTCAGTTTCCTTACTTTTAATCAGAAAATCAGAGTGTTTTTCAAGCTTACGACTCGTTACGAGCATGTCGCAGGGGGATAGAGACCCTTGCACAAGAGCTTCATTTTTAATTTGAATTTTAAATTTGCGGGGCAGAACACTGGGATTTTTATTTTAGGTTGAAAAAAATAAATAGTGGACATTGAAGGCGACGAGCGAGAAAAAAATGAAAAAAACAATTCCACGATTGATCTCCCTTTTTGCCTATCATTACTGCTCTGTTGACGTATCTTCTTCTTCTTCTTCTGCTGCTGCTGCTGCTATTGCTGCTGCTGCTGCTGCTGCTATTGATGTTGATGTATCTTTTATCTTCCATTGCTTGCATTTCCTTTAAAATACTGGAAACAGGCACCTTTTTTTTTTTTTTTTTTTTTTTTTGGACAAACGGGCCCCGTGTTTGTATAGTTCAGCCTTGGGCACTGGGGACAGGCACTTTATCCACCACCAACAGCAAACCCTGCAAGACCCCAAAAGACAGGAATGGAAAAAGCACCCAAAGGAATTGCTGTTAGGTGCTAACTTAACTTAGCGCTGAAAGATGATACAGCCCAGAGAACCTTGGGAGAAATACCAACAAGCTACGCCTGTTTTTCCATGCGCCTGAGCATGAATTTTGTGCCCAGACACATGCCCGGTGGCTCGGCTGGGGCAAAACGAAGAGAGCGGGCGGGGGGGGGACCTGGAAAAAACGCTATATTACTAATATTTAATATTAGTATATTGTGCAGAATTGAAAATTCAAAATGCAGGCAACTTTATGGCCGAGGGTCACCTCAGAAGTCCTTCCTGAATCGAAGGGAAAAAGAAATTGCCAGTGGGAAAAACAAAAACCTGAAAGAAAAAAGTACGTCATGTAGAACTGCAATGAAAAGTTGCGATTTGCAAACAACCTTCTGGCCAAGGGTAATCTCAGAATTCCTTTACGAATCGAAGACGGAAAAAATAAATAAATAAAAAAAAAAAAATCAAACTAAGGCCCCTCCCTATAAACAACTCAAAGGGAAGTTAACCCGGGCACTCCTGCCAGAGTGCCACAGGTAGCTTTAGCATCGTTAGACATAGTGAAAAAATAATAAAATGATAAGAGGGAAACACAGCTGAGAAGAGCTTCAATGGGAAAACACATGGGCGCAATAATAATGATTGCAGTTGTGTGAAGATAATAAAATAATAAGAGGGAAACACAGCTGAGAAAGCTTCAAAAGGAAAGCACATGGGCGCAATAATAATGATTGCAGTCGTGTGAAGAGGAGGAACTCCACACAGCAAGCCTAGTCAATAAATACAGAACAATCTCTTTCTCCCTCATAGACAGAAGGAGAATCAATTCTTCCTCTGTGGGAAGGCCCGGAAGGGTATAGGGTAAATTCCGTGCGCAAAATCATGCATTGTTTGAGCACATGACTATGGCAGAGAGAGGATAAGACTTCAACGACACTAAAACGACAAACTTGGACAAAGGCACATAAACACACCACAAAATTATGAGTGAGCTGGAAATAGACTACCTTTGCACGCATGTGCCACAGCATGTGTGTGTGTGTGTGTGTGTGTGTGTGTGTGTATGTGTGTGTGCGTGTGTGTGTGTGTGTGTGCGTGTGTGTGTATG